GATCCTGGAGGCATCGATGGAGCGGCTCTCTTTCTGGCTGCTGGGCGCCCTGGTGGAAGAGGGTTGCCAGAGGCGCGGATGCACGCTATTGCCAGCGCAGTGCGGAACAGTTGACGATTAGCGGAGGCCAGTATTGGAGAGTGGCGGAGTACAAAGGCTTTCGGGTTGGTCTTCTATCCTGTATCTCGGCGGCCGAGCGAAGTAAAACATGATGCTTGCTCGTCCAGCCTACCGATCTCGTGAGCCTCTGGGATTTAGCGTCGGTTTGAGAGCGCTAGCGCCCCTCCCCCTTTTCGAGGATAAGGGCGAGGGAGTCGAGTCGAGGCAGGAGAGGCAGACACATGATAATGAGGAACCGTAGGAAGAGGATGGAGGATGCTTGGGGAGACGGATGAGAGCGAGGAGGACGAGGATGATACGTGGGAGGGAGAGGAGGGCGAGAAGGACGAGGACGATCAGGTGCATGCTGATGAGGGACACGTCGCATACATTATAAGATAGTAGGTGCTCATTGGTACATGTATGCACACATCCATATATATATATGTATGAAGGTATAACAACTTATGCAGTACAGTATGCATCAAATGATGACGCACATGTCTGTATACATATACATACATACGCAGACATGCGTATTCAGCGGAGTGAGAGAGCGGAGGGGAGGATGAGAACATTGCAAATGAAGAGGAGGATGGGCAGGGGATGATGGCGAGGAGGATGAGGCGGATGTGCAGGAGTCGGGCGGGCGGGGAGGTGAGGGGAGGTGGTGATGGAGGAGGGGGAGGATGCGTTGGGAGAAGGGGAGTAAGGTGGAGGATGAGGGTGAGAAGGGCGGAGAGGGGGAGGTCAAGAGTCGGGCGGCATGAGAGTGAGGGAGGCCGAACCGGCTGATGATGACGAGGCGTAATTTGAAAGGAAAGGGGAAAGTGGGACGAGGATTAGGGTGAAGAGGAAAATGATCATGCGGATGATGGATGACTTTGATGATGAGGATGATGATGAGGATGAGGATGATGATGAGGAGAAGGAGGAGAAGAAGAGTGACGAGGAACAGTCGGATGAACAGGACGAGAGGGTCCAAGAGCAGCAGCCGCAGCAGAAGGACGATGACGTTAAGGGGGGAGGCGTCTGCTCACAATCGCTGTCGAGTTCTCTCCACGACAGCGCTCACGTTCGAGCATGGCTGAGTGGTTTGACCTGGCCTCGCCACTACCACTTCTCGTGCGGTCCTCGCTTTTGGAAGCTCAGGCTACATCGCGTCTACGACCGCCTTTGCGAAGTCGGCTCAGTCACCCCCGTGGTGGCGGTCTCGGTGGAGCTTCTGAACTTGCATTGTTCAGTGGCGGTTTCCGATGAGAACACCATCTGCTCTATTGCCCTCCCGTTCTCTCCAGTCCAACCAGTCCATCAGCAGATCAGGCATGTACTTAGCGACAGCTCATCCTCCTGAGGCGCCTAACGAAATGTCCCTGGCTTAGGGTGACGTGACGACATTGACGATGAATTTCGAGTCTTCGTGCCACTCTGCCTGGGAGGGAGAACAGGAAGGAGAGTGAGAGCTGGGCGCTTGGAGCTCGCTCCTCCTCCTCCTTCTTCCCCCGCCTCCACCTCTTACCCGGAGAGCCGGTCGTCACTGGTTCTTGCCCGCGGCGGGGCGAAACTGCTGGCACCGCCGCCGGAGCACCTCTCGAGCGCCGTGTGGCCGCACGCCCCTCGGGCAACACCCCCACCGCGCCGTAGCAGGAGGGGGTGTGGGGAGGCGGAGGAGGGGGTTGGAGGGGAGCAGGAGGGGGCGGGGGAGTTGGTGGGAGCGGGGCGTGGGGAGGAGGGGTGGGAGGAGGAGGAGGAGGAGGAGGAGGAGGAGGAGGAAGAGGAGGAGGAGGAGGAGGAGGAGGAGGAGGACAAGTGCCAACCCAGGACGCATCAACGATGGCACAATAATTCCCTCCAACTTCCCTCATCACAGGGCCCTACGATACAATTTGTTTGCTTTACGGGGAATGCCCTGTTGGAAGACAGCCGTCTGAGAATCTTCATTCCTGCCAATGCATAGTTCCTGGGACCTCAGCGTCGCGAATCAACGTGACTGTTGCGCCATGGCAATCCTAGCTTGCCAGGACATGGTTCGTGGGACTTGGGCGATTCAAATTTTGAAGTCGTTGTAACCTGCCAAATTAATGTGCCAGGCGCGAAGACGAGAGCCATATGTTAAAAAAGAGCTGCGTTTCATCTTTGAAACGGTTGCACACTTTTAAAACGAACGTGCGCGGTGCTCAGTCATGGAAGCCGCCCGCCCTCCATCCATAAAGCTGCTGCGAACTTTCAAACCGAATGTGCGCAGCGCTAAGGCGAGAGCCACATTTCGAAACCCACCCGCTTTCCATGCTTGAAGCTGTTGCGTTGTTGTAAATGTACAATGTGCGCGGCGATCAGGCGAGAACCACATTTTGAAAACGGCCCGCCCTCCATCCGTGAAGCTTCAGGTTGCAGGATAAACAAACGTGAGGACATCTCAGGCCACACGCCTGGTCCGCCCTACTGACATGCCTGGGGGTGCGACAGGGGGGGAGTTCTGTATACGGACAAGTGTTGGAGGAGGCTAAAGAGGAGGAGGAGAGAGGGGTGGAGCGGGGGGGCGGTCGGGGAGACGGGGCTGGGAGCAGGGGGACGGTGGGGAAGAGGGGAGGAGGACTGTGCTTGGAGTTGGAGGACCAGGAGGGAGGTTTTGGCCGAGGCCGGTAGGGGTGGCTAGGTCTCGACTCCGCTTGCGGGTGCGGGTGCCGAGCTGCTCAGAGGCCCAGCCGTGGGTGCCAGTGCCCCAACCCCCTCACGTGTGTAGAGCTAGCGGGGTCGCGGATGCCGCGGTCGGCGCGGGATGGAGATTGGGAAGGAGATGTGGATCAGAGGTGAAAGAGAGGATGGGGAGGGGGATGATGATGGTCATGACGACGACGATGAGGATGGCGACCACACGGCGACGACGATGCTGATGCTGCTGATGATGATGCTGACGTTGATGTTGATGATGCCGATGATGATGGTTTTGATACTGACGATGGTGGTGAGGATTATGTTGATGCTGGTGTTGATGTTGATGGTGAACGTGATGATGCTGATGCTGATACTGATGCTGGTGCTGATGCTGATGCTGCTGATGATACTGTTGCTGATGATTCTGGTGGTGATGGTGGTGATGGTGGTGGTGGTGGCGGCGGTTGTGATGGTGGTGGTGGGGGGTTGTTGGTGTTGTTGTTGTTGTTGTTGCTGCTGTTGTGGTTGATGTTGTTGATGCTGTTGGTGGTGTTGATGTCATCGTTGTTGTTGTTGCGTAATTGCTGTTGTTACCGTTGGTCGTGGTGTTGTAGGTGGTGGTGTTGTTGCTGCTGTTGTTATGGATGGTGGTGATGCTGCTGCTGCTGATGATGATGGCGAGGCTGATGATACTGATGATGATGCTGATAATGATGCTGATGCTGGTGATGATGATGGTGCTGATGCTGCTGATGTTGCTGATGCTGCTGGTGATTATGATGATGATGACGATGACACTGACGCTGAGGATGATGACGATGACGATGACGATGACGATGACGATGACGATGACGATGACGATGACGATGACGATGACGATGATGATGATGATGATGATGATGATGATGATGATGATGATGATGATGCTGATGATGATGATGATGCTGATGCTGATGCTGATGCTGATGATGATGATGAGGAGGAGGAGGATGATGATGCTGATGCTGATGCTGATGCTGATGTTGCTGATGATGCTGATGATGAGGGGAGGATGATGATAATGTGTGAAGAGGATGAGGAGGCGGAGGAGGAGGAGGTGGAGTAGGAGGAGGAGGAGCCCGAGGAGGAGGAGGAGGAGGAGGAGGAGGAGCGCGAGGAGGAGGAGGAGGAGGAGGAGGAGCGCGAGGAGGAGGAGGAGGATGAGGAGCGCGAGGAGGAGGGGGGGGCTCCCTGGCCACCGGGTCCGAAGGCGCCAGTGGCTCGGCTCCCTCGACACGAGGGGGCGGCTGCAGTACTCCAGGACGGGGCGCCGTGGGGCGTGGGGCGGAGGGGCCGGCCCACCGCATCCCCGACCAGCAGGCAGGAGGCAGGGCGAGGGGGGTCCTCCCGCGCCTGCGCCTGTTCTGCCTCCGCCTCCGCCGCCTGCTCCTCCAGCTCCTGCTCCAGCTGCTGCTGCTCCTCCCTCTCTCTCTCTCTCTTTCTCTCCCCCTCTCTCTCTCTCTCTCCTTCCTTTTCCTCTCTCCTGCCTTCTCTCTCTCTCTCTCCTTCCCTTTTTTGTGTTCTCTCTCGCTCTCTCTCTCTCTCTCTTCTTCCTCTCTTCCTTGCTATGTCTCTGTATCTCTGTCGTTTTTTTGTATGTTGTTTCTCTCTCTCTCTCTCTCTCCTTCTTGTTTTGTTTGCTTTTCTTTGTCTCAATGTTTATCTCTCTATATATATATATGTGTCTTGTTTGTTTTCTCTCTCTCTCTCTCTCTTTCTTTGTCTTTCTCTCTACTTATGTTTTGGTTTCTGTTGTTCCCTCTCTCTCTCTCTTTCTCTGTCTTTCTCTCTTCTTCCTCTCTCCCTCTGTGATTCAGTATCTCTGTCTCTCTCTCTCTCTCTCTTTCCGGTTGTTTATGATTATCTCTCCTGTTATCTCGTGCTCTTTTTCCTTTCCTCTCTCTCTCTCTCTCCTCCCTCTCTCTCTTTCTCTTTTTCCTCCCTCCCTCTCTCTCCCTATTTCCTCTCTCTCTCTATTGTGTCTCTTTGTTCTCTCTCTCTCTCTCGTTCTCTCTCTCTCTCTATCTTCCCCTTCTCCTCCTCCCCGGGTGGAGGGCGGGCAGCCCCGTGGCCACGGGGACGGCGACGCGCAGGTCGGGCGGGCGTCGCCAGGCCGCCCCCCGCTCGCGATCCCGGGCGGCTCCCGAAGGGGCGCGCCTCCCCCCGAGGAGCGCAGGCCGAGATGACCGTGGGGGTTTCGAACTTGGCATCGCTCGGACGTGTGCATTTTTCCTTCGGCGAGGACCATCGAGGAGCATCCTTGATAATGTGGGGGAAAAACCACGCACAAAACCGACAAAAACACAGGGAATGGACGTCCGAGCGATG